CTTTTTACCACCACCATTGCTTGCCATTTGGTCAAGTCTTTTCTCTTCTTCACTTCCTTTTTGAATACCTTCACCGAAACCAATCGTATGACAAATAAAATTATGATCTTTTTTGTATTTTGATTTCAACTGACTAATTATATTTTCGGGATTACCATAACCACAATCAGCACCATCCGACATAAAAATCATGACAATTGATGCTTCTGTTTTATCTTTCTCGATTTCTTTTGTCGCTTCTTTCAAACCTTGTGCATAATCTGTACCACCACCATGAATGGAAAGTGTACGAGGAGCATCAATAACTTTTTGTCTCGAACAAATCGTACGTGCACTGTTATCGAACTGAACAACAGTAATGACATCATCTTCACCTTGATCATCATTACGTCGTGTTAAGAAATTGTTGTATGCTTGTTGTAATTTGTTCCAATGTGGGCTCATTGAACCTGATTCATCAAGAACAAAAACAAAATGATATGATTGAGCTTCATGTTGTTCAGTATCAAATGACACTGTTTCTTTGAATGCTCTTTTAGCATCACTTTCTTTATTTTGAACTTTCTGTTGTTTAGTATCAAATAATAAAATTTCTTTGAATGCTCTCCCAGCATCACTTGCTTTACTTTTATATTGAGCTTTGAATGCATCCCTCATTTTAGCCGTTGCGTTTGGTTTAATAACACAAAACATAAGATCGATTTCTTCATTTTTTTTCAATAGACGATCACATATACCCGTCAATGTATGTTTACCGTTTCCCTATAATAGAATGAAACATTATTCATCATTCTCCTCATGACATTTATTGAGAATTCACTTCTAGAAAAATCATTTAGTTGAATCATACATAAAATTATACTTTGATAAATTAATATCGAAAATGAATTCATTGAAAAACATTTTTGCTTCAATCTGAAAAATTCTTCATTTTCTATTGAATATGAGTGAATAACGTATTAATATTCTTGCTGGCCTCGAAATACGAGTTTTTGAAAATATAGGAATCCATATAGAATTTCGTTTTGTAAATTATAGAATTTTCACTTCAAAAATGACAAAAATATGGGTTTTTTTAATATGTTGTTCCTACTCAGAAATCCGATTTTCCTAACTCTGTGGTTTGAGATATGTTTTTATTAGAGCTAGTACGAATGTTCGGAGCATTCCAAGAATGTCCATCTTGTTCAGGGCTGCCAAGTCAAAATTTCAATAACCAGGAGTTTTCTGGCAAAAGCCAGGAATTCATCAGGAGATTTCGTACCGAAAACCAGTAGGAAAACCAGGAGGTTTTTATTAAAATACAAAAGTTGTCCAATGGTTTTATAGTAAATCAAAATTTTGCGTCTGTACAAATGTTTTTTTTTTACTTCTTGTTGTCAGGTTATAGCAAAATCTTTCTCGAACAATGAAGATTTTTTGTGCTATAAATTAATAAGGTTAGATGTAATTGGACGACATTAAAGATCCTATCTCCAAACTGATAAATGTAAAGCATGAGTTGTTGCTGGCGTATTGGGATGGATATATCCGAATTTTAAGGTATTTATAGTTATGCAAAGAGCTCATAATTCGAAATTTCAATAAAATTTATTATTCTTTTTCCGTGTTTGCTAGATACAGCTTTTCGAGTTTTGTAATTTGTTTTTCACTTGAAACGCATGTTTCCTTATAAAACTCGACAACCTCTATCCACTCATTTGGAAAAACAATAATAAATTGTATTGAAATTTTGAACTGTGAGGACCTTATACAAACTTAAATATCATTGAATTCAAATATGTCTGTCGAAGGACCACAAATAACAGGTCATATTTTGGATTTGTTAGTTTGGCAATGAAATCATTTATTTGACCTGAATATATCTAATTTTATTAACTTGCGACACAAACACCTCTATTGCAAGTAGTTTGTAAGATAAAAAAAAGATTATTACATGTACTTTATATTAGTATCAATTTTACAGTCAATTATTAAACTATACGAACAAAATAGAAAAAGCTTGCTTCAGACTAGATAACAACGTAGCAAAAAATTGATCTATAATGAATTTGACACCAAACTGCTCAAAACCAGGAGAAATCAAAAGAATATGTTAAAAACCAGCTCCTGGTACCGGGAGAAATCTCTCGAAACCAGGAAATTTCAGGCTAAATCAGGAGATTTAGCAGCCCTGATCTTGTTTCTATCAAAGCTAGGGTCGAATTGCAAATTTTCGAAAATATAGGAATTCCTATATGGGCAAAATCATTTGTTAGCGACGTGACTTCGCAAAATTAAAATATGTGTATCTCGAGATAATAAGCTTTCTTAGATCTGATTTTTATATTTTTCATGGACATTAACGTACTCTAGATATCCTAAAAAAATCAGTGCTGTGAAGCTTTGTTCAGAGAAGTTATTGATAAAAAACTGAAATTAATTTTAAGTAGTAACCATATGAAAGACCAAACATGTTAACATAAGCCTATACCAAAAGAATTTATCCAAATGAAATTCTCTCTTATATAGAATCAACGTCAGATGAAAGGTACAAATGTCCTATTCTGCCTGATTTTGCCGATATAAGGTTTTGTTTTCTGAATTTTACGACTATTTTCACTAAAAAAAAGCTAATCGAATTTTAGGTATTGTACGTCGAGCTTTACCTGCAAGAGACCTCTATTATCATCTCATTGGCTTTTCGTAAAAAGTGATGATTGGAAGGAAAGGGGAGGAAGGTATAGCACCACGAAGAATTCTGTACTCTCTCTCTCACAGGCTATAGTCACACTTTTTAAAGTTTTTCTGTTGTTTTTGATAAAACATAGAAAAAATAGGAATAACTATTGAAATATACAGGGTAAAATATTGAATTCTTCAAAAATACAGAAATTATAGGATTTATAGGGCGAATCCGACTTCAGTTTTTGTTTAGAAATTATTTTTGCTTAATATTAAAACAAAAAAGGACAAATGTGATAATAGATACCCTAGTGAAACATCTTGTAAGCAAGATCTTGGATCTTGTACCAAGATCTTACTATCTTGTGACAAGATCTTGGCCAAGATACAAGGAACAGAAATGTTAACAGATCTTGACAATTTAGGCACAAGATAATAACATTATCATCTTTCACCAAGATCTTGACTTGATAGTACCTGTTATGGATGATTTTGCAACTGCTCGTAGCTAGATTGTCCCGAATCGTTTAAGAAAACGTGATCTTCACCCAAGGCTGTTCTTAAGGACGACGATTTTGAACGGTTTTCGAACTGACCATTGGCCTCTAACTTGACTCCTTGTGTTTGCAGCAGCGCCCCGATTTCAGATTCATATTCAGCGTCAAATTTTACTTCGGATTGACTATCTCGGTAGTATTTAGAGTCATCCATAAACGACTTTTAGTGATCACTTTTGAGCAGGAATATTTCAGTTAAGATGTTATAGATCTGTACCTAAGATCTGATTACAGATCTTGGTAGAAGATAATGATATTAATATCTGTAGCTCAATTTTCAAGATCTGTTAACATTTCTGTACCTTGTATCTTGGCCAAGATCTTGGTTACAAGATGTTGCACTAGGGTACTAATTGTTTTGTGGTCAAAAAGCTTTTATCGAATTCGTTTAAATTTCTCTATTAATAATTAAATTAAGAGTGAATCGAATTACTTACTTTACTATAGTGATCATTTGTAAGATCATGATTAAGTTCTGGTCCATGACCAGGTGCATCAGTAATAAGTACAATGAATCGAGCATTTGTTTTACTCCAATTCAATGTTAAACATGTATCAAGTGCACCGAGTACATCTTCTGGAATATCACCACCTCCACTAGCAGTTATTTTATTTAAAAATGTCATTACATCATCGGTTTTTTCGGTAAAATCTATTTTCATAATTGGTAGCTTATCTTTCAAATCACGATAAGCAACAATAGCAAAACGTAGTTGAAGTTTAAGTGATGGATATTTTACTTTAACTTCACCTTGAATACCTTCCATAATAGTTTTCATTTGACCTTTAACTGCTGCTAACCATCGTGACATACTACCAGTACAATCAAGACAAAAACAAATATCAATTGTTATATTTGATGGTGGTTGACCATTTTGTAATAACATTAACTCGCGTTCATCAGCCAATTCTTTGATCATATCATTAAAAGCTTTATTTGAAAAAATATCTTCGAAAAGATTATCTTTAGATATAGTATCTTTCATATCATCAGTAACTTGTTTTTTATCATTTTCTATTGGTGCCCATTCAGACAAAACAATTTGTGCTTCTTGTTCAAATAAAGCTCGTAAAGCTTTTGATAATCCACGAACAGTAGTACATTGCAAATATCGTTTATAAACTAATTGAAGATTAGTTGAATCAATACCAATAGCCATAGCTACGAGATCAATACCATTATTTTCAGCACGTTGTTGTACCATAGCAAGACGATTACCACAATTACTATAACCATCTGTAACTATAAATATTTTCTTTTCACCTCGTGTAGAACATTGACTAAGTAAATCAATAGCAGCTTCAATAGCATCTGCATCTTTCGTATCTTCATCTTGATCGAAACGAAGTTCATTTAAAAGTGTATAAATAGTTGCTACATCCCAAGGTTGTTCATTCGATTTAATTAAACGTACCTCATGACCAAATACAATGATACCGAATTGAGTTAAATC